AATTTAGCTTACTGCAAGGTGCAACAAGAGTAACGTTATAACATAACTTTCAACACACTCAAATGTATTTTAAGTTTGACCAAGTAAAACAGTGCTGCGTTACCTCACAATTTTAATTAATAAAGTGGCAGTATGAGTAGTTATTCAGCACTTGCGGCTGTTTCATTAGAATTAAATAAAATAATGTGCATTTGAGTGATCAAATGTAACTAAGAATGTTCAAGCTCAGGGAAGGAGGAGGCAGGAACCGGCAAATGTTTAACTTAATTTTGATTGTGAAATAAACAAACAACAAAAACTAAAGGAGCGGTAGCGGCCGACAGTCTCACTCCACCGCCCTCGTTCCGCTCCGCTTCACAGTAACGTTAATAAACATGTAATACATTAGCTCACCCATGAACATGATTTTTGCCAGAGATTGCTTTCCATCGGCTGTGGAGGTGAAGGACGACGCCTTCACGCTACGCCTTTGTTATGGTTTTGAATAAGCACCCTCTAGTGGTGAAACTTACATACTGTGCCTTTAAGTGAGCGCCAGATGACGTAAAAATACGGGAAATGACCACCCACAATTAAATATCAGTTAAATTAAATTTTAAAAAATCTTACATTTCGGCTAACACATAAATCGATCAAAATAGTTACTTGTCACAAACTTGTTTTCAGTTTTATATCCCGTTTCATTTCTAGTATTCAAGAATCAGTGCAATAACTTTTACTATTACAATTATTGAAGTGGGTAAGATTTTTTTTAATGCTTTTGAATCTCACCAAGGCTGCATATATTTGATCAAAAAATACAGTACTACCACCAGTAATATTGTGAAACATTATTACAATTTTTAAATAACTATTTTCAATTTTAATATACTTTAAAATGTAATTTATTCCTGTGATGCAAAGCTAAATTTTCAGCATTATTTCACAAAATCATTCTAATATGCCGATTTGCTTCTCAAGAAACATTTATAAAACAGTTATGCTGCTCAATATTTTTGTAGAAACAGTGATGCAAGATTCTTTGATGGACAGAAAGTTCAAAAGAACAGCTTTTATTTGAAATTTTTAAACATTATAAATTTCTTTACTGCCACTTTTCATCAATTGAATCCATCATGTTGAACAAAACTATTAACTAGGGATGTAACGATTCACTCATCTCACGATGCGATACGATTCACGATACTGGTTTCACGATACGATTTTCTCACGATTTTTTTAACAAATGAGATTTAAGACAAAAGTGTCCCTTTTATTATTTCTCAGACAAAATGCTGCCCATTTCTTTTTAATTTAAAATATATTTGTCAAATAATAAAACTACATAAAAAAAATTCCCTTCAAGGTTGTTTCAACTCAGTCTTTCTGTCTGTTTGGTCCAGAGGCTGGACACTGGTAACTTCGCACACTATGTAAAAGACTGTGTAAAATTAGTACCAGATTGACAGGGGTTTTACATTGTAAGAAAGGCAAGATTCTAATTTTGTTAGAATTTGTATCATTACACTAGTAAGAGGTGACTGGTGCTTCTCACGGTGGTGATTATTATTAGTCTACGGAAAGTCAAAATGCCGCCACACCTCCGATTTGAATGAGTCAACGTCAACATCTACGCTTGCCGTCGCCATGTCTACTGTTTGACGGCGCGTGCACACCAGTCTATGGCACACACTGGTGCGGCGAGAGCGGAGCAAACCGAGCGTTTTCAGTTCATTCCTATGGAAGTTGAGCTTGGCTCACACAAGATCAAGTTCCATGAATGAAGTGAAAACACTCGCTAGCTACACACCAGTGTGTGCTCGCTGCTATTGTGCCTGTAAAGCGAGGTTCACAACTTCACAGTAGGCTATACAGTAAACGCGCCCTGCTGTTTAAAACGTGTATCGCGATTCGTTTAACATTTCAACCGACTTGAATCGTCACACATTTTTATCGATTTTCAACCGGTTGCGAGTGAATCGTTACATCCCTACTATTAACTTCTTTAAATTATTGCATTTTCACTGACCACAAAATTTTGAACAATAGTGTATAATCCTGGGACCCAAGAATAGACTTTTGTCCACTGTAGTGGACATTATATTTTAGTGAATTTCTCATACATGTCACATGACACAACCTGGGTGTCCTGTAAAGAGCACATTCAGGACTTTTCAGAGATACCAAATGTTTGGAGGTTTCACCATGAAAACAACTTCTCCTTGGTCTTTAAAAATGTCTGACATTATTTTAGTGATCAAATGTAGCAAATCTAGCAATATGATAAATATGATAAAATATTGTAATTATAATTTAAATTGGACTACTTTTTCAAATTGTATTTCATAAAACAACATCTCAGGAAAATGTTAAGGGGTTTCAAATAAAAAAATTACTTTGTTACAGAACAGGGCATTGATTTCAAACGTGTCCACTGTAGAGGACATCAAGACTAAAATCATGTTTAATAGATAAACATGAAATATTAGATATTATTATGAAATGTTAGATATTATTATTAAAATGTTGCCAATTATTACACTTCTTTTTTCATTAAATGTTGCTCCAAGAACACATTAATGTGCAAATTAGATACAGTGTATAGATACATTGCATTGAATGGGAATATTAATTTATGTCCATTTTACCCACATATTGCAAAAAGTTAAATGGTGTACCATTATTTCTTTCATTACAGTTGAGAATAATCTTTATACAAATTTTGGTTGAAAAAATCCTGAAACCCCAAAATTTATTGGTGATTGAAAAAAAAATCCCATTGTTTTTGCCTATACATTCATGTCATTTTATTTTTTTAAACAACTTAGTCCTGGCGTCCACTACAGAGGACATAGCATAACGTATGAATAAAATATTATTTTATATATGTTTTTTTTTTACCATTTGTTTATTGTGCTCTAAACAGTGTGATGACATGGAAAAAAACTAAATTCAAAAAACTTTTTTTTCTGGGTCTCAGGAGGATACACCACAAGGGAAAAAAATCAATGTTGTACAACAGTGCTGAGAATAAAAACATAACTGCTAGAAGAACAAAAATTGATGACAGATACAATCCGTTTCAGCTCGCTTGGAATAAAACAGAGCTAACTGTTGCTCCGAGAGGGTTTATGAGCAGCATATTTCAATAAAATGATATTAAACTCATAAAAGAAATAACAGCAAGCTCCGTCCATGCCGGTGGCCCCCGTCTGAGTCTCCACTAGCTGTTCCGGAGTTTACCAGAACCTTCGGTACACAAAAACAGAGAGGTGCGCACATGTAAACACGTGTGCAAGCCGCCGTGCACAAATGTGGCACGCACGCTCTGATTTACAGCGGAGTAAACGATTTAAGCAGCACGTCTCGCTCTAACACCTAAACACCTGACAGCCCTCTCATAAATAAGGTTAGCCAGAGCCTCCTGTGTAATTTACACCTACACTATCTCTTAAACTAACATGTAACAGGTTCATCTGCCATATTTCAGCACCACAGGCTGAGAACCCGCCTGGGAAAGATGAATGAGTTGGATGGGCATTGAGAGAGAGAGAGGGAGAGAGAGAGAGAGAGAGAGAGAGAGAGAGAGAGAGAGAGAGAGAGAGAGAGAGAGAGAGAGAGAGAGAGAGAGAGAGAGAGAGAGAACACAAGTGTGCAGTTGCGAGGGGTTGGGGCGAGTGAACTTCAAAAGCCTACAGCGGATCTGTTTTTGGGTGTGTGGAGGCCATGCTGGCTGCGTCCGGGCCTTCGCTTGCGTTCCTGTGAAAGCGCTCCAGGCCTGAGGCGCAGCCGCAATAACGTCTGACAGTAACATCAAGGCCTCACCTCTCCCATCATAAATCCTCCTGCCCTCATTCTTCTTCTCTCATGCGGTGAGATGCATCTTTGTCCCATAAGGATGATTTATTCAGGAGAAATCTATAAGGTGCACCAGTCGGGGCTCTGCGTACAGGAGGAAGGGGAGAAAACCAGAAACCCCCAAATCTCGCCTTGACACGGCGAAGCCTGCGTGCAATTTCTACAAGCAAACCTAGTTATGATATAATTCATACGATCCATCTCTCAGAATAAAAAAACATATGAATTTCAAAACAACTGCACAGCGTGTGACAAACTACCACTGACTGTAATAAAAAGGAAGTTGACTGTAATAAAAATGAAGTGATCATGCTCAAATTGACACTTGTGCCACCTACAGGCCGAGTTTAAAACTGCGGTACACTGATTTTTCAAATTACTGTAGTAGGTTTTACAAGAACACTTTCAGTCTTTCTACTTCAAAATTACATGTTTACTTCAATGCGTTACTTGCTGTCTCTTTGTAATTAATTGACATTTACTAGAAATTTCAATGTAAAAATTAGATGATAAATAGGTTATAACATGTTTTAACATTGCTTTAACTCATCAAAATAAGTTGGGTTTTTTCATAAGTTATACAAGATTCAGCTAATTTTTTTAATCAGTTTAATGCAATTTCAGTTGAAATGACTTAAACATCCAAGTTGAATGTACTTAATTTTTTACAGTGTGAAAATTGTTTCTGGACCAAATATTTTCTGTGGAAATACCCGAGGAGGGGACCGGAGAGACTTTTAAACATTTTTATAGGCTATACAAGATTATATTTCCCTCGGCTGTGGGACTGTTACACTGTCAAAGAACACCTTGCATTATTATTTATTTTTCAGAGTAAGCTGGTGTTTTCTAGACCAGACCCATCTCAGATCCTCATATCATGCTCTGATGGTCACCTCCAAGCTCGCCAGACCCTGAACCAGCACGACGGCCCTACACACACCTATGATTTACACGGAGGATGTTCATTTGCAGTGTTTTATTGCCAATTGGGATTTTAGCACCATGAAAAATAAGCACAAATGCCAGTGCTGAAAATGTAAATGAATTGCGGTGGTTGCCAGGTAACCAAGCACACTTTCTGAACAGTAAATTATTCATTCAATACGAAGCGAGAGATTACCTGGTAATTAATGTTTAGCTATAAATTTTCTGTTACTTACAGTCTGTGTATATCTGGTGGGGTTTGATGCAGCTGTTCACGTATGAAGCAATGAAATCCAGACCTGTCTGTAAACATTCTGCATACGATCTGTCAGAAATCCACCGTGTGAAGACCGGTTCGACCGGCCTGGTTTGGGAAAATGTCTATGTGAAAACTCAACTGTATTGTAGACAGGTAATTTCAGGGGTAACCTGTGCGTACATGAACTAAATACACCAAAAATACCTAGTAACAGGTTTCAAAAATGTAAATATAAAAATGGGATCTCCTTTAAAGTATAAAAAGCTTTAAATTTATGTCAATTTATATATACATTTTTTTGTGCATATACTTACAACAAATAATACAAGAGTCTGACAAATTTTCATAGTAGCATTTAAATATTATAATTATTATACTTTTTGTGTTGAGGATTGTAGGACAACCTGTGTGTATACAAATTAAATACACCAAAAAATAACTTACAATACCAACATATCTGGCAAAATATTACATATTTGACAGTATTGGTAATTACTTAAGAAAACTAATAATAATAATAATAATAATAAGGGATGTCCTTCAAAGTTTAAGAAGCTTTGTCAATTTTTTTTTTTTTTTTCTTATTTGATTACTATTGTGGGACAACTTGTGCATATAATACATTATAATACCTGCCACAGTATTATAGTTATGACAATTATGCTAATCACTGGAGAAAAAAAAACATTTCTTGCATTTCTGTCAAAATAATATATAGTAATGGTAATTACTGAAGAAAAAATATATAATATGGGATCTCCCTCCAAATATATGAAGCTTTCTGTCAACTTAATAATGCAATAATCAATTTTTTTATGACTGTTGTGGGACAGCCTGCATCTTTACTAACTAAATGCACCAAATCACACCTTATTCTCCTGTAAATAAACCACTTTAAGTTCCAGTTTCTCATTATAACACATACCACTTCTTCTATTCCCCCTACTCACAAAAAAAAAAGAGAGAAGATGAGAAACACCATGACTGGATAGACTCCAGCAAGCTCAAACCACAAGACCATCTTGAATGTCTACAGGAAAACTCTCTGCGGCACAAAGGAAAACAACAGGCCTGATCACTGGGGTCTCAGTTCTGAGAAGCAGAGACTTGGACCTCATATTGTCCAGTTCGATCCAGAATGTCCACCATCTGTAACAGCTGGATGTCAGCCGGTTAAGAGTGAGAACATTTGGAGAGGGTCCATCAAAAACAGGGCCTAAAATTCGGGTTTGAACGAGATTCAAAAATCACAAATTGGGTCCTACTTTGCCAGTGTTATCATGTAGATTGATTAAAGTCATCATCTCGGGATGCCAAGACAACGCACGTAATTCCCAGACAGAGCATCTGGCTGACTGCGAACCTTCAAACCAGCATCAACAAACAAAGCAGACCCCCACCTCCGGGGCAAATGTTCAGCATCTTCCTCACAAAGCCAAACAAACCTGTGGCTTGCAACATTTTGAGAGTAGGTGAGCTATGCTACTTGGTTGGAACAGAAAGAGACGTTTTTTTTAAACTATGGGACATTCGAAAACACACAAGTGCTGAAAACACAGACGCACAGCCAAAGAAAATGATGACTTTGCTGTTCGGCTTCAAAATCCATGATTAGTTAGACTCACCCTAAGCCTCTGCAAATTTGAAGAGGAATGGCATTTTGATCCCCATACACTCCAGTAGGAAAGAGATATGGAAGTAAGAGATTAAAATGACTGGTTATGTCACTGAATATTGTTTCGGCCAGACAAATGTCAAATAATTATTTGTTCTAGAAAATAAAAGGCTCCCATTTTTTTTCACTTAGTAGGCTTACATTAATAATGCCTGAAATTAATTTTGATGTTCTGCACCTTTTATCTGGAATGAGTAAAACATTTTTTTTCAACTATTATAAAAAATATATGAATGAAAATCTTTGAATTTTTACTTTTGAAACCAGGAGTTAACCCATATATTAAATGGCAAGTCATTGCCTTTTGCTGACTTGAATCCAGCACAGTGTCATTTTAGTATCATTGAGATACAATTACAGTTTTATTAATATTTTAAGTTTATGTTTTAGATTTCTGGTTTCCTTTTAATTTTAGTTCATATTAGTTGTATTTATTTATTTTGTGTGTGTGTGTGGGGGGGGGTTAATGGTAATAATCATTTTGCACCTTTTAATCAGCTTCAGATGCGCTTCACACTGATCATAAAGTGCCCTCTGCTGGCCGTTTCAACCGCAACAGAAAAACGGACTATCGCCAGTCATCATTTTTTGCTCTCACAATTTGCTAAAGCTTAAGAATATATTTCGTTTTTTTCCCCATGGAAATGCTGCAATAATGATCTGCTGTGAACTGCCATTAAAGAGAGATTAGTTGAAAGACAGAAGCAAGAAATGTCCTCTGTTTTCTGATGCATTTACACTTTTCTCTATTATAGAAGCATGGAATGGAAATCATGATATGACATTTACCTAACAAACCTTAATTATTTACCATTTCAAAAATGCATAAGCTTCGTTCCTACAGTTATGGTACCAGCTGAAGAGACATTTTCCAAAAAGAACACGTAAAACGTCAATTGTAATTCCGTTTTTAAGGCAAAACTAATCAATTAATCAATCAATCAATCAATCAAATTTTGTAGCCACAACAGCAGGCTACTTTAATGGAAACTATTGTTACTTTGTTAGCATTATCATATTTTTAAGGGACACTTAAATAATGTGTTATATTATTTGAATACACCAAGCTGTTGACACTGAAAACAATCTATCTATATTATACTGGCATACAGAGCTAGTCCTGGTCATTTTTCCATTCCTCAAACTGAGGCAAATGCACAAGATTCAAGTTTTATATATATTTTTTTTAAATAAGCTTGACAGCGCCTACTAGTGGCCGTCATGGTGGATGATCTAATCCACATATCATTATACCATTATTCTTCCCATGCCATTTTTCTCGTGTACTCAAATATTTTTCTTTTAACTGAAACAAAACCTGATCACAGATGCACTATACAAATGGAACAAATGGGGGCAAAAGATCATTAAAAGTTCCAATTGTATAGCCTATTTAATGACAATAAAATGACCTTAATTCTTTTTTTATTTGTAAAATAGGCACTCGTGGTTAATTTAATTTTAACTTTTAGAAATTCCATTTTATGAATATGAATTCTTAACCATTTAATAAAATGGATTTTATAAAGGCCTAATTGTATTACATGACAAGTCAATGATTATTTTACTTACATTATAGATTCAAATAAATACTTGAGTTATTGTGAATAAATCTTGAATAGATGCCAGAATTACTAACATCAAATGAAAATAAGGGCACATTACATCCACTGTGGCTATTTACAGGAGTGAACATGCCCTTAAGTACCCAATCTGTCTTCATTCACAAGCTCATAACTCTGTATAGAGCGCCGTTTGGCCTCTGTCCCACCGGTGCCAACTCTGATATAGTAACAGACGTTTGTCAGAGCTCCAATCACACTGCCAGAGAAGAAAAAAATCTTACTAGTATTTCACATAACATTTTAACAGTTTGTTGAAACCACTCTTCTACAAGTTTAATCTGACCGTGAACACTAGACATTATCTTGAATGCAAGTCCTGCTCAGAAGGCCAGAGGGCAGCAGACACACCAGGAACTAAGAAGGTTTGGGAGATTTCAGGTGGGTTAAAAAAACATTCAGTGGCCCTATAGTTTAATGCTGGGTACACAACAAAAGATTTTTTACATCTTATAAGATTTTCAAAATGTGACAGACCACAAACATGAGGACAAAAAATCCTAGATTTAAGCGTTTTGCTCCTATAGTGTGTGGTGTGCCATGATGTGACAAAGACAGCACACCACACACGAACAGATTTTCAACCAGAGTCTCGACTGTGAACAAAGGAAATCTCACAAAATCTCGCTAGACTTCAGAATAAGCTTGGCGGACGATATGCAGGAAGAAATTGCGATGATAGTGTTTGGAATGATTTTCACAGAAAAACATTCGTGCTGTTGCCACAAATCAACAAGCTGATCCTCCATCTCTGCTGTCCACATCAATTTAACTTTTTGCAACGCCATGACTGCGTTTGTTATGCTTCCGTCTTCCATCATCTCGCTTTCTGATTGGATATTGTTTCGTTTCACGTTATAATCTCCAGAGCGTGCGCACGTTTGTCATCGGGATTCCCCCCACACATCAGGATTTCTGATCGTAAATATTCAACATGTTGAATATTTACAATTCGCGATCGGGGCGGCTCCGACGTTCTTCCGAGCAGGTTTGGACACTCTTAACACACCTCACACCAAGGGAAAATCTGATAAGATAATCTGGAGAACCATCAAGATAATCGGGACATAGCTAGGATTGTCGGAAGGGGGAAAATCGGCCCAAAATCAGCCCAATTATCTTTCGGTGTGTACCCAGCATTAGACACTTAAAGGTATTGTAGGTAGGAATTTTATAAAAAACTTTTTTCCAAATTTGTTTAAACTTTCTATATATATCAATGCATAATTAAAATGTTAGTACTCTGATAAAAAGAGTATAAAAATCGAGTGACTCTAGACCGTTTAATCTGCACTAAACACAGCTCATTATTTCCATCCGGGAGGAAACAAAGGATTTGCTTAGGCGACTGTCACTCTCTCGCAACCATGGCAACCACCCTTTTGCCACACAGGACCTGCCCACTTGCGCGTACCCGTTTGATTTGAGGAATTCAAAAGGCATGGAACCTAGGAATAGCAAAACAATGGCAGAGAAAGACCAATCAAAATTCACATATGCAGTTCGCGAAGGCAAACCAGTCAAAAAAAGGAAGACAGTAACGTTACTAGAAAAGGTAATGAACAAAAAGTCTTTGGATAAACAACGATTTATCTGTCCTCGAGCTGACGATGCGGTACTTGTCTCTGGAGAGTGATTATCAGATAGTCCTCATCAGAGTCAACAATGCTTTCATCATGCAAACTCTTACATGCAGAACACCATATATGTTATGAATCTTACACGAAATTCATCTTCATCACAGTGTAAATGATGGCAATGGAAA